CTAGCCCTGACCCCCACTGGAGTTGGAACAGAGGGAGTCTAGGACCCAGGGGAACAAGTGCGCCAGTAGTTGTTGTTTGCAGCTCTTGCAGATGATGACTCTGGAAGACTGATGATCTTCTGATCCAGGCACAGTAGTAACAAGCAGAGCAGGTCTTGTAGATTGCCAGGCGTGCACCAAAGCAAGGCAGGTAGTGAGGATTAGAGACAGGAGCAGTGTCATGGGACAGTCAGGGTCATCAACAGTCGGGCAGCATGTACAGAATCAGAAGGAAAGCCAAGGTCAGGAGCAGAGCCGAAGTCAAGAACCAGTATCAATCAGGAGAGCAATCAGAGTCAGGTGAGGAACAAGCCGGGTCAGCAACAAAGGAATCACACAGGAACAAGCAGGACACGGGGCCCAGTCAGCACTCAGCACATGCAGAGGCACTTCTTAAATAGTCCGTCTGGCGCCAATCTTCACAGTGCGTGTGCACGTGTGTGATTGTGCATTTCTGTGCACATGCGCATGTCTATTCACCAGCCGTCTCATGGGAATTCCCTTACAAACCATCTGCCCGTACTCAAGATGGCCATGGCTAGAAATGCAGGTGGAGGGGGGGGAGGGGTTACAAAATAATTTTTGCAACAAAATAAAGCATGGAGACATGGATGGGGGAGTTTGCTTTGAATATTAAGAATGAATTAAGTAATGTGTTCAGTTTGTGGAGCTCAGATACACTTTAGCTCTGCTTTAGGATCAAGCTCATTAATAAAAATATAAAGGAAATATTTTATTGATACAGATTATAAATAACAGACTTATGCAGGCCATAGATGGGGAGAAAACCGGCCGATTTTTCTTTAAAAAAAATGAAAAATTGGTCGTTCAAGCGGCCGACGTTACCAGGAATGGTAAAAAAAATTGTCCGATTTTCATCCAGTCTACAACCGGCAAAAAGTGTCCCTGCAGAGAGCTGCGCTATTTCTTTGACAGTGCTTTGACATTTATAGCGGCTGCAACAATGTATCTATTTGTATCCATTTCGGATACAGATGTTTTTATTCGGAAACAAATAGATACATTGTTGCAACCGCTATAAATGTCAAAGCACTGTCAAAGAAATAGCGGAGCTCTCTGCAGGGACACTTTTTGCCAGACTGGAATTGTTCCTCTTCTTCATCCTCTTCTTCTTCTTCCTCTTATTCATCTTCTTCATCCTCTTCTTCATCCTCTTCTTCTTCATCCTCTTCCTCTTCTTCATCCTCTTCTTCATCCTCTTCTTCCTCTTCTTCTTCCTCTTCTTCATCATCCTCTTCTTCCTCTTCTTCATCCTCTTCTTCTTCATCATCCTCTTCTTCTTCTTCATCATCCTCTTCTTCTTCTTCATCATCCTCTTCTTCTTCTTCTTCATTCTCTTCTTCTTCTTCTTCATTCTCCTCTTCTTCTTCTTCCTCTTCCTCTTCTTCATCATCCTCTTCCTCTTCTTCATCATCCTCTTCTTCTTCATCCTCCTCTTCTTCTTCATCCTCTTCTTCTTCATCATCCTCTTCTTCCTCTTCTTCATCCTCTTCTTCTTCTTCATCCTCTTCTTCTTCATCCTCCTCTTCTTCTTCATCCTCTTCTTCTTCATCATCCTCTTCTTCTTCTTCATCCTCTTCTTCTTCTTCTTCTTATTCATCCTCTTCTTCTTCATCCTCTTCTTCTTCTTCATCCTCTTTTTCCTCTTCTTCATCCTCTTTTTCATCCTCTTCTTCTTCTTCTTCATCCTTTTCTTCTTCTTTTTCTTCTCCTTTTTGTCTTCCTCTTGCAGGTCACTGCTTATGTGCAGATTTTTTATTGGTAAAAAGATCGGCCAATTTGCCCATAATTGCTGCGAAAATCGGCCGATCGGCAAAATCGGCCGATCGTTTTCCAACTTTACCGATAAAAAAAAATCTGACAAAATACCAAAAATGGCTGAACAATTAATCCACTTACGATCCGAAAATCGGCCGATTTTATTTTCGGCCGAAAAATCGGCCGATTTTTGGCCCATCTATGGCCTGCATTACTGTCAGGATCAACATGTAAAAAATAAGGAAAAAAAAACCTATAAAAAAAAAGAAAACGAATGCAGCCAGAACGTCTAAGAAGCTGCAATATAATATTTTTTTTGCTTTTGGGCTTAATACCACTTTAATATCACACTCATATATACAATATAAAGTAAATATTTTATTGATACAGATTAAAATTAACATGTATACATAAACCCATATACAGAATAAACGTGTGATACAATCTTGCATGTGTTCCCACATACGGGCTTCCTATTATCTCCACTGTTCCCTTGCATTGCCAGGCATTCAAATGCTCTTATAAAATGATAGTAAATACACTATGCTATCCATTATATATATTATACAATGGGAAAAGAAGCACCTCCCTGGCGTGTTTTGCACAATTATGCTTCCTCAGAGGTATGGGATGAATGTCAGCAGTAATAGAATAGATGTCTGAAAGAAGAAAATAAATCATTCCAAGAGTTGGAGATCATATGTAATCACGGCAATCCAGGAACACCTATTCACTGTCATGTGCTAAAAGATAATCCTTCCTTCCTAGATTTTTTTTTTTTCTGGACTATAACATTTCTTCTTTCAGACATCCATTCTGTTACTTCTGATATTCATCCTATACCTCCTGAGGAAGTATAATAGTGCGAAATGCGTTGAATGATGATTCTTTTTTTCACCATATAATAGCTAAGGGATAGAATGGTAAATCTGAATACCTGGCAATGCATGAGGACAGTAGGGATAATAGGAAGACACCTATATTAGACATGCACCGACATGAAAAAAATTTGCTTCATTTCAGATCGATTCGTTAAGTTACTCATTTTGTTTTGTTGGATTCGTAACAAAATTTGTTGCATTTGTTAATTTTCTACCTGATTTTAATTTTTCCCATGGATTCAAACTATTTGAATCTAAAACATCAAATTGATCCAAAATCATTGTGAAGAATAGCTGGTTCTATTCTATTCTAAATTTGAATTTTTGAAAGACGGCTATATTCTTTCTATTTTATTCTATTCTAGTCTTTTTTTTTCTATTCTATTCTATTCTATTATGTGCCTTTATTTTCTATTTTTTAGTCTATTCTATTTTTTTCTATTCTATTCTTTTATTTTCTATTCTATTTTTTCTTATCTATTCTATTATTTTCCATTCTATTCCTTTATTTGCTATTTTATTATTTTATATTCTATTGTAATAATATTTTATTCTATTCTATTCTTTAAATTTCTATTCTATTCTGTTTTATTCTATTCTTTTTTATCCTATTCAAAATTCTAATTTAGAAAGATGGCTATATTCTTTCTATTTTTTTTCTATCTTAGTCTTTTTTTTTTTTAGTTTATTCTTTTCTATTCTATTATTTTCTATTATGTGCCTTTATTTTCTATTTTTAGTCCATTTTATTTTATTTTATTCTATTCTTTTATTTTATATTCTATTTTTTTCTTATCTATTCTATTATTTTCTATTCTATTCCTTTATCTGTTATTTTATTGTTTTATATTCTATTTTAATTTATTTATTCTACTCTATTCTTTAAATGTCTATTCTATTCTGTTTTTATTCTATTCTTTTCTATCCTATTCAAAATTCTAATTTAGAAAGATGGCTATATTCTTTCTATTTTATTCTATCGGTGCAGCTCTGCATGGTAGCCAATCAGCTTCTAACTTCAGCTTGTTTAATTAAGCTTTGACAAAAAACCTGCAAGCTGATTGGCTACCATGCAGCCTCCAGTTTTGGTAAATCAACCCCACAGTCTTTGAAGGAAAATTGTTTTAAATTTCTTTTTTTAATTTGTTTCAAAGTCGATTCAAATTCGGATGATTAGTTTTTTTTGGGCAAAATTTTGTTTTGTTTTTTTTGGATTCATTTAAATTTGTTACTATTGTAATTCGTAAATTCAGATACAAGATTGTATTGAAATATATTCTGTATATGTGCTTACTGTAGTATCTTTTGATTTTTAATGCATATATGTCATTTTTAATCTGTATCAATAAAATATTTGTTTTTATATATGAGTGTGATATGAAAGGGGTATTAAACCCCAAAATGAAAGATTAATATACTGAAGCTTACCACTTCTTTGATGTTGTGGCTGCATTATTTTTTCATTCATTTATGTAAAACCTGGTTTCCCTAAAGGCAAAAACATTTTTCTGTAACTACCTATAAAATGTTATCTGGAGCTTCAATTTATTAAATAAGTCCATCTAAACCTGCTAGTGGTTTTAACTCTCCCCTCCCCCCAAACTTACAATGCTGCTGCCCAAGGGTATCTCCATTGCTCCTTCATCCAAAGTGTAGACATCCGAAGACAGGAAGTATGTGTTACTGGATGGTTCACTAGGTGAAAATAAAGGAAAAAAGACAACTAATACAGTCACCACATCTAAGGATTGGTAAGCTGCAATAAATTACATTTTTGATTTTGGGTTTAATATCACTTTAATTGCACTTTAACCAGTTCAAGTTCAGACACTTTCACCCTTTTCCAGCCCAGGCCAATTTTCACCTTTCATCACTATCACACTTTGAGTGACAGTTATTCAGTCATGCAACACTGTACCCATATGAAATGTGTATCATTTTTTTGAGAAAGATAGAGCTTTCTTTTGGTGGTATTTGATCACCACTTTTGAGAAGAAATTATTTTTTGCTTAGTTTTTGTTATAAAAGTTTGAAAATAAATAATTTTTCTTCATAAATTTAGGCCAAAATGTATTCTGCTACATTTTTTGGGTAAAAATAACCCAAAACAGTGTATAATATTTAGTCTGTGTGAAAGCTTTAGAGTCTACAAACTATGGGATATATATTTGAAAATTGATTAGTTGAGACCCTAAAATGTTGCATGCTGGTATGACGTATGACAGTGATCAGAACACTGGTATAGGGTAGGGTGGTGATCAGGACGCTGGTATGGGGTATGGCAGTGGTCAGGTTGCTGGCATGACGTATGGCAGTGATCAGGACGCTGGTATGGGGTATGGCAGTGGTCAGGTTGCTGGCATGACGTATGGCAGTGATCAGGACGCTGGTATGGGGTATGGCAGTGGTCAGGTTGCTGGCATGACGTATGGCAGTGATCAGGACGCTGGTATGGCATATGGCATTATCAGGATGATGCTGGTATGGGGTATGGCGGTGATCAGGACGCTGGTATGGGGTATGGCAGTGATCAGGACGCTGGTATGGGTTATGGCGGTGATCAGGACGCTGGTATGGAGTATGGCGGTGATGAGGACGCTGGTATGGGGTATGGCAGTGATGAGGATGCTGGTACAGGGTATGGCAGTGATCAGGATGCTTTGTATGGTGTATGGCAGTGATCAGGATGCTGGTATTATTATTATTATTATACAGTATTTAATAAAGCGCCAATAGTTCGCTCAGCGCTGTACATTACAAAGGGGGACAGAACATGTGACAGAACAATACCAATACAATGCAAAACATGAGGGGATCGAGGGCCCTGCTCTTTCGAGCTTACAATCTAGGAGGGAGGGGATGGTGGTACAGGAGGAGATAGCTGTGGGGGATGGAGTGGTAGGAAGAGTGGGAGGAGGTCGGCAAGTTAGCAGGGGGCAGGGTAGGCTTCCCTGAAGAGGTGGGTTTTCAGGGTGCGCCTAAAGGAGAGGAGAGTAGGTGATAATCTGATGGGTTGGGGCAGGGAGTTCCAGAGGATGGGTGACACCCTGGAGAAGTCCTGGAGGCGGGCATGGAGGTAGGAGGAGACCAGGGAACTAGAGAGAAGGAGGTCTTGTGAGGAGCGGAGTGTGCGTGTTGGGTGGTACTTGGATATTAGGTCAGTGATGTAGTTCGGGCAGTATGGTGGACGGCTTTGTACGTCAGTGTTAGGATTTTGAATTTGATCCGTTGCGCAATCGGAAGCCAGTGGAGGGATTGGCAGAGGGGGGTGGCGGAGACAGAGCGGTTGGAAAGGTGAATGAGTCTGGCAGCTGTATTCAGGATGGACTGAAGCGGGGATAGCCAGCGGCGAGGCAGGCCAGTGAGGAGGGAGTTGCAGTAGTCGAGTCGTGATATGATGAGGGAGTGGATGAGCTGTTTAGTGGTTTCTGGGGTTAGGAACGTGCGGATTTTGGCGATGTTGCGGAGGTGGAGTCTGCACGAGTTTGTTAAAGATTGGACTTGGGGCTGGAAGGATAGGTTGGAGTCCAGAATGACACCAAGTACTCTGGCCTGCAGGGCGGGTTTGATATTGGCGTTGTTGGATGTGACGGAGATATCAATGGGGGGTGGTGTCCGGGCTGGGGGGAAGACAAGAAACTCGGTTTTGGAGAGGTTCAATTTAAGGAAGTGGAGTGACATCCAGTCTGATATGTCGCTCAGTAGGTGTGTGATTCGGGCTGAGACCAAGGGGGTGAGGTGGGGGTTGGTATGGGGTATGGCGGTGATCAGGATGCTGGTATGGAGTATGGCAGTGACCAGGATGCTGGTATGGGGTATGGCGGTGATCAGGAAGCTGGCATGGGGTATGGCGGTAATCAGGATGTTGGTATGGGACATGGAAGTGATCAGGATGCTGGTATGGGGTATGGCGGTGATCAGGATGCTGGTATGGGGTATGGCGGTGATCAGGATGCTGGTATGGGGTATGGCAGTGATCAGGATGCTGTTATGGGGTATGGCGGTGATCAGGACGCTAGCTTGAGGTATGGCCGTGATCAGGACGCTGCTATGGGGTATGGCGGTGATCAGGATGCTGGTATGGGGTATGGCGGTGATCAGGATGCTGGTATGGGGTATGGTGGTGATCAGAATGCTGGTATGGGGTATGGCGGTGATCAGGATGCTGGTATGGGGTATGGTAGTGATGTAGTATTCTAGTATGGCGTATGGCAGTGATAAGGCTGCTGTACACTCACAGGCTGCACAATTGCAGGATTACGCTGAGAGCAGAGAGAACGATCTTTAGTTTCACTTTCCATCATTTACTATGTGATTACTCTGATTGGACACAGCAATCACATGGTAAAAAACCATGTAATCGCCCAGACACAACAGTAATGTGATCCGCTCCTGGGTGCGCGTTCTAGGAGCAGCGCAGGAGCCGTCGATGTAGGCTGATGTACAACTCCATTAGGCCACATCGGCAAAGCTTTCCATCCACCGTCTATAGACTATGGGTGGACAGGAAGAGGTTAAAATTCCCGTCCGCTTCTTCACGTTTTATTTTCAGTAAATCACAGATGCTACTAAGCTTTCAGCCTGCATGTGTTTAAAGAGAAATTGCTCATTATGTCGTTCTTGCTAACTGCTCTACCTTCCAAGGAGCTCATAGTCAGTGTGATAGGTGGGCTCTGATGTTGGTTCACCGTTATCGATCTGAGCATCTGTCTTGACAAACATTTTTCCGGCAATAGATAATGGACCTTTTCTCCTATTGTCATAACATCACTAAATCAATGTGCTTTTGTATGGCAGGACAGGGTGCTTTAATTGAGCTGTTAAGTCCCCTATGCACTAACGCAGTGGTTAGAGAATCCAGCAGAGGATTTGGGTTCTCTGAAACTAAGGAGCCCTGCCAAGGAAAGCTTGTATGGACATTACCAGGGAGCACAGTGTTCTCTTCAAATTGAACCTTTGCTTTACAGTATATCTATACTCAGGAACAAAATGTAATATATTGCAGTTTACCAGTCCTTAGATGTGATGGCTGCATTCGTTTTTTATTTGAGGCTTTTTTTTTTCTACTCTCACCTGGTGATCCTGCCAGTAACAGTCATACAAATTAAATGAAAATGTGTTGCGCTTGACAAAAACAACTTCAGTGCAAAAATATACTTTGACCACTTGCTGACCACATAACGTAGTTATATACTGGCAGAGTAGCGCTCCTGCGTCGGATCACATACCTAGTATGTGATCTGGCACTTCCAGGTAGGGGGCGCACGCATTCACCGCCGGTGACCCGACTGTGCTGTGATTGGACACAGCACAAGCCGAACAGCGTGTGCCGGACAATGGATGACCGCCGTCACACACTGATCGGCAGGTAGAAAGAGAGAACAGAGCTCTGCCTTTGTAAACAATGTAGAGCTCTGTTCTGTCAGTGGGTATGTGCTGGATTTTGTTTCTCTGCAAAGCAGGGACTAAAATCCACACATCCCTTAGTAAAAGCAGCACACTTTACACACAAAAACACTGCTTAGGCACACATTTAACTCTTTGATCACCCTTGATATTTAACCCCTTCCCAGCCAGTGTCAGTAGAGTATCAGTGCATATTTTTTAGCACTGATCACTGTATTAGTGTCACTGGTTCCCACAAAGTGTCAGTGTCATTTAGTGTCATATTGTGCACCGCAATATCGCGGTCCTGCTATATGTTGCTGATCACCGCCATTACTAGTATTACATAAATAAATATTCCAGTATACAGTATAGTGTATAAAATAAATAAATGAATAAATAAATGAAAACAATTTCCAATATATGTAATAGATTGTAGATGTTATAACATTCACATAAACCGATCAATGTACACTTATTGGGATTTTTTTTTTACCAAAAATATGCAGCAGAATACATATTGGCCTAAATTTTTTTTTTTTATTGAATAGGTTTTATAGCAGAAAGGAAAAAATTAACTTTTTTTTTTTTTTTGAAAATTTTTGTTTTTTTTAATTTATAGCACAAAAAATGAAAAACCCACTGGTGATCAAATACCAACAAAAGAAAGCTCTATTTGTGGGGAAAAATTGTATAAATTTAGTTTGTGTACAGCATTGTTAAAGTAACAAATTTTTATATAGTATTATTTTAACACTTTTTCTTGTTTTATATAGTTTTAACACTTGAGATTTGGAGTGTGGTCATACACATATTTGTTTCTAATGTAGCGCAGTGTCAAAAAGCAAAAAAATGGCCTGGTCATGAAGGGGAGTAAATTTTCTTTTCTTTTTTCTTTTTTTTTTTACAGACGATTTTTAGCATTGTTAAAGTAACACATTTTACATTTTATATGGTATTATTTTAACACTTTTTCTTGTTTTAGGTAGTTTAACACTTTTTTTTTTTACAGACGATTTTTATTAAAGAATAGACAACAATAACAAAGTAATCTCTTGAGGAGCAAAACGCCTTGAGAAAAAGGCACATAGGTAAGTAACAATAGAGTAAGATACAGGCATAATAAAAGATACACGCATGTACATGAAAAAGGCAGTTGGGGGGTAAATTTTATAAACGTCAAGTGGTTAGCCACTTGAGCTCCTGAGGATTTACCCCCCTTAATGACCAGGCCTCTTTTTGCTACTCGGCGCTGCACTAATTCAACTGATAATTGCGCAGTCATGCAATGCTGCACCCAAACGAAATTTACGTCCTTTTTTTCATACAAATAGAGCTTTCTTTCGGTGGTATTTGATCACCTGTGCGCTTTTTATTTTTCACGCTATAAACAAAAAAAGGCCAAAAATTTTTAAGAAAAACAATATTTTTTACTTTCAGCTATAAAAAATATATAGTAAACTCAAAGTTGGTTATAAATTTAGGCCAAAATGTATTCTGCTCCATGTTTTTGGTAAAAAAAATCCCAATAAGTGTATATTGATTGCTTTGTGTGGAAGTTATAGCGTCTACAAACTATGGTATAAATACTGCAATTTACGCCATTTTTTTGCTATACAGCGCTGCGCTAGTTTAACGGACAATTGCGCGGTCATGCAATATGTTACATAAATGAAATTTACATCCTTTTTTCCCCACAAATTGAGCTTTCTTTTGGTGGTATTTGATTGCCTGTGCAGTTTTTATTTTTTGCGCTATAAAAAAAAAGGCTGACAATTTTAAGGAAAAAAAAAAACAATATTTTGGACTTTTTGCTATAAAAACATGTCCAGTAAAAAAAATTTAAAAAAATCAAATTTAGTCATAAATTTCTGCCAAAATGCATTCTGCGACATGTCTTTGCTAAAAAAAAAAAAACCCAATACGTGTAAATTAATTGGTTTACGTGAAACTTATAGCGTTTACAAATGGCGGGAAAGATACTGGGATTTTTAGGTTTTTTTTATACTAATAATGGCGGCGATCAGCGACTTATGGCAGCGATCAGGGACTTATGGCGGCAATCAGCAACCTATGGCGGGACTGCGGGACTGCGGCGGACATTCTGACATTGGGGGGTACTGACTTGGGGTCACTGACATCCCCAGTAACACCAATACAGTGATCAGTGCAAAAAAAAAAAACACTGCCACTGTACTAATGGCACTGGGGAGGAAGGGGTTAACTTTATTTTGCAGGGAAGGGTTATAGGAGTGAGGGGAGTGTTTTACTAGGGGGGGGGGTGTGTACTGAAGGGAATACCGCTGACCGG